CCTTTAGACTCCCGTGACACCTGCAGTGTACAGTGGAGCCTTTTCAGGCAAAGGTTGTTATAAATGTGATTGTTATGAATTTTGTCAATTTAGCTACCAATTAACAACTTGAATAAATTATTACATTCATTATCAGGCATGATGCAAAGCTAATTAAAATCTGCAGGAGCTTTTCTGTTGAGTTCACAGAGCTTTGGATCAGGCCCGTAAGTCTATAGCCTAATAACAATTTTTCTTTTTTTAGATAGCTATTTTTTGGTGGTCTGTCTAGGTTGGGGAAAAACATTGAACCTTTCTGCTTTTAACCTGTGTGACCCCATTAATAAAGAGTGAATGCTTGTTCTAAAACTACAGATGAAAATGAGTTCTTGTCAAAAACATTCTTGTTCTTTTCTTCCACATGCAGCCATGTGGTATGCTGGATCTTCAGAATGTTCTCAGCACATGGAAGTGCCACATAATGTGTCTGAAACTGAAATCTTTCCTTAGCCATCACTATAATTAAAGAAAGGGAGGAAAAACAAGGGGGTTTATAAGTTGTCAAAAAAACCACTCCTTTCTTGCCACGATTCATTTATGAAAACATTTCTATGACTTAGAAATAAGCAGAAGGAAATAATGATTATTTTTTTTTCCTATTGCTTTTCTTCATAGAACTACAGGCACTGTGTTGTCTAGAATTCAATAGTGTAATCATGATTTTCTTTACTGAAAAACTCTTTATTTGCATAAGGTTACTCAGTATACTTTCTGAGCTATCTTGTAACAGTGACACTTACTATTCAAATGTGTATTTTAGTGCAACACTGTGTGTAAATAAATTCTGATCCCAGCATAGTCTGACAGCTGAGAACAGCAAAAAGAAAGGAAATAGCTAGTAATAAAAGCACAATTTCAAATTACAAAAAAAAATAAAAATGAGAAATCAAATAGGAAACTACCCTCCAATGATGAAAGTGTGAAACAGAGTCAGTAGGATTACTAATACTCTCAAGATTAAAACTGAGAACAGAGGGATCTTCAAAGCAGAGTGTGTTTTTATTGTGTTTCAAATACTTACAGTGAGTCATTGACTAGAAAATAAAACTATTCGTATAAGAAGTTTGCTTAATTAGAACTATGATAGTTTCTAGATTTGGGATTTTCCTTCTAGTTTTTAGTTACTGATGCATTTTAAGCCTGGAGCTGTCTGTTAATCCCAGGTGGCAGGTAACGTGAGGCAGGGCTCCTGTGTTTGTCTGGTCAGTGTCAGTCACAGGTCACATGAAACTGGATGAGATCAATGGAGGTCGGCAGGCATGAAGTGCTGGAATCTGCTCTGAGGGAGCCCTTGAGGGTTCTGGAAATCCTGAGAAATAGTTGGGCTTCCTCTGAAATGACCAGCTCTGTTGCCCAGAATCTCTTCCTGAGTGCTTCTGTAGGCAAAGAGCATGGGATAGGCAAAAACTGTCCTTTGATACCAAGTCAGTGCTCCTCCTGAGCTGTACTTCACCGAGACATACATGAAATGTCTAAAAGCAGGTGACAAAGGAAGCTGTGTTGGCCACACATGTATCACTGGCTAACGCAAAACTTCTGCCTAGTTCCTTCCATTTCTGTGAAGTTCAGTCAGTGGATCTACTGACATCTGGGAGCTGTTATAAAAATGTTGCTATGTTTAAAAAAAGTTAGGAATAGGACAATAATAAAAAGCTGAATGTTTTGACTCTCTTTGTACTGGCTTTGTGTGGTGTGGTTCCTTTGCCTGCAGCAGAATGTCTCCTGATATACAGCGGAGCTCCGGGAGGGAGAATGAGACATCCCTGTGAAATGGCCTGCTAAATGGCTCAGGTCTCTCTTGCTGTGCTGGAATCTGTCATAATTAATATGCTTTAAAGGAAATTAAATGACCACCTGGAATTACTCCTAAATTTAACTATTTTATGTTTGGCTGTACCTGATTGGAGCTTTGAGACAAAAGAGGAATCAGACAGATACTTCTGAATATCTCCTGGATGTTGTCATTAAGAAAGTATATGTGATATAAAAAAGATAATATGCAGATATATGTATTCAAGCATTCCAGCCTTGATGAGTGTGCAGACCTTGCATGCCCAAACTTTTTTGTGGTATTGTATTGAATAAGATAGTGCTCGTCTACCTGCTGAATTACAGGTGTCGTACAGCAAAGCCGTGTAGGGTCAGCTCTGCGCTGTATGAGTAGGAAGCGAGCTGGTGACTCTCTTGGATCACTTCGTCTGCAAGAGCTGGAGGACATGAAGCCTTTGATTGGTTCCCATGCTGCTTGTAAAGGTGAAATGTCCTTTTCTGGCACTGAATTATGAAAACGTTCTCGGCAGAAAACCAAACAAGTAGATGAGGATCTGCCATTTTCAATCTTGATGAAGCAGAATGTCCTTTTGCAAGAAAGGAGACTGGAAGCAGCTTCGGTCCTCTTGCCCGCCCGCTACATGGGCTAGGAGGGAGAAACCATGCGTACCATTGGTGTGTATTTTTTTCTAAGAAATGTTTTCTAATCATTTCAGTGAGGAGAAAGCAGGGGGACAGGGCTGGGACAGACAGAGGGAAGCACCCTGCGGGTGTGACGTGAACTTCCTGCGTGTCAGCGGGCAAAGGCAGGTGCAGGAGTTGCCTTGCAGGAAATAGAGGATATCGGCTGGGCGCGCTGGATGGATCAGAAAGATGCATTTGACAGAAGTGGTGCCATCATCAAACGGTGCTGCAGCTCTGCAGCCCTCCACACAAGAAGGACTTGGACTTGTTGGAGCAGATCCACAGGAGGCCACAAAAATGATCAGAGGACTGGAGCACCTCTCCTGTGAGGATGGACTGAGGGAGTTGAAGTTGTTCAGCCTGGAGAAGGGAGACCTTATATAAACCTTCCTGAAGGCATTCCTGTTCTTTACAACGAGGGTGGTGAAACGCTGGCACAGGCTGCCCAGAGAGGTGGTGGAGGCTCCGTCCCTGGAGACATTCAAGGTCAGGCTTGATGGGGCTCAGAGCAACCTGATCTAGATAAGGACGTCCCTGCTCACTGCAGGGGGGTTGGACTAGATCATAGAATCATAGAATGGCCTAGGCTGGAAGGGACCTTAGAGATCATTTTAATCCAGCCTCCCTGTCGCCAGGGACACCACTTCTCGACTAGATCAGGCAACGCATGGGGACCGAATGGGAATCGAACCCGCGACCTCAGCGTTGTTAGCGCCACACTCAACTGACTGAGCTAACCAGCCCCCTAGATGACCTCGAAAGGTCCCTTCCAGCCCAGCACATTCTATGATCTATGAAAAGCGATGAAGGAGCCGGTAAGGAGGGTCACGGTATGAAGCATGCTGCTGCGACAGTTGCTCAGTGGTTCAAATGCGGGGCATCATATACACTGTAGCACAGAATAACCAGTTCTGAAAGCATCTTTCTGCTGACTCTTTTGTGATTTAGAAGGGCTTTGTTCTTCTCAAGTAATAAAGCTTGGTATACTCTTTACTTGTTAAGGTAGATTGTAATGGATGGTACCTAACTGCAGTGACAGTGGAGGCAAAACCATCAGGTATCCCGAAATGAAAATGAGGTGCTTTTATTTTTTTGCTTTTTTTTCCCCTCAGTCACCCAGCTGTGCTGCTGTACTGAAAGTAGTGCATGAAGACCTACTGTCTTTTTGTTGAGTATAAAACTGACAGTGCTCTTTTTGCATTTTGTGAAAGGTTTTATGTTGATTTTATTATTACTTTTCTTTCAATCTGTGCTGAGTGTATGCAGTTGCTGTTCTATATGTGCTTTCAGAGTGTGTGTGTGTTCCCAACTGGACATCTTCATTGCTTACAGCACTGGAGGGGGTGATGGAGTTCTTACAGCAAACCTACTTTTAATTTATTTTATTTTATTTGACACTTCCCTCAAGTTGTTTCCAGTGGTTTAAAAAGCAAACAAATGTTTATGTATTTGCCATCTCTGGTATTTGAGATCTTTGTTGTTCTTAGTCTTCTCAGTCTGGTATGTAACCATTTGCATAAAGCATTTCATCAAACAAAAGTGAATTCAGGTTAAGAGACCTACCCTTTCGCGTGCCAGGGTTTGGCTGAAACTATTCAACTGGATTTTCCTCAGATGCTGTAGAGAGAACATGTGTTTCCTTTTGCTCTTTTCTCATTTTCTCCATCTGTCACATTCGTCTACATTTTTATATAGGGAATGATTTTTATAAAATAAAAATACAGAATTAGTCATGCTGTTTGAAACAGTCTTTCACCTTTTGTTGTTTATTTTTTGTGGGTTTTTTGTGTTCAGTAAAGAAAAACTCTTTGGCTGTTCAGGTGCTTTTGCAATAATTTAAAAAATCACAGTTAATAGTGATTTTCCTTCAACTTTTTCCCCACCATACATACGTTTTATATCAGGGAGGCCTCAATTCAGAGGTAGTGTTTTATATTTTAGTTTAATAGCCCTTCTGTGAATTTGGAAAATTATTTTTTCAAATCCTTTAAATTTTCGGCATTTACAATGTCCTGTGTCAGGGAATTCTGCAGCTTGATCTATGCTTTCTATGAAGAAAAATCTCTGTTTTGAACCCTATTGGGTTCCTGTCTCTTTGAATGCCCATGGGGGACTTAGTAAAAGCAATGAATAATTGTTTCATGATTTTACAGACCTTCATCATGTCGTTTCTCACCTATATCTAAGGCTGCTTTTCTGTTTATTCCTGGTGGAGAAGCTCTTCTCTAGTTTTGATCATCCCTGCAGTGCTCTTAAACATTTTTCTCACTCTACTATAACCTTTCTGAGAGGAACAGAGCAAAAGTGTGTATAATGTTCAAACTGTGAGTGCACAGCGTGTTTCGGTAGTGGTATGGTGACAATTTTCTGCTTTTTCTCTATTCTATTTCTGGAAAATCTGAATGTTCCATTTGATTTCCTAAGGGTAGCAGGATGTTGAATGAAATGTTTTGTTTTGCATTTCAGAGGACTACGTAACTTAATGACAGCATCCTCTCTCTCTGCAGCTGCGGATGGGATGGTGTGTAATGAGTTATGCTCAAGCGATGGCTGTTGGGGGCCAGGGCCAGACCAGTGTCTCTCCTGCAAGCGCTTCATCAGGGGAAAGACCTGCATAGACTCTTGTAACCTGTATGACGGGTAAGATATTTCCCCTGCACTTTTTTCTGAAGGTGCTGATTACATTGTTCAGGACTTTAATGAGTAAGTTGGTTTGGCTTTAATCCATATCTGGCTTCGTTGACAACATTACTGATATTGAGTGAACTGTATTGTGGGATAAGTTTTAAATATTTCTGAATCTGAACTTGCATAGAAGGCTTTACCTAATATTGTGTGGACTAAAATTTTCAGGTAACATAAAAAGTTTGTGGCATCTTTTGCATTGCTAATGATGTTGAGCAGTTTGATTTAGATGAAGACTTACGAAAAACCCCACACCATTTAGTCCTACTAGAATATTGACAACCTTATTCAGAAACACATAATCATTAGGTGTGGGATAAAGAGATTAAGCACCTCAGAGTAGAAAAACTCACTCTATTTTTTCATCATGCACTGGGTATGTGTACACAGAAATATAAATAATAAACCCAACGTGGGTTCTTCCCTCCCTTTCCTGCTTCTGCCCATCCATGTGCACCATCTTTTCTGGAGGATGGATTAGGCAATATTTACATAAGACACGGCCAAGGTATCTGAATCTGCCTTATGTCAGAATAATAGCTACCACAGCAGAAATTAATGATTCAGCTGTGGAGGGAAACAGGTGAAATTTCACTTCCTGTATAGTATAGAAAGGTCCCCTGCACCTCTTTTAGAATCAAGATAAAAAACCTATCTTTGAGCTGAAACTGCTAATTGAAAATAAGATCACTGCATGGTTTCATTGTCTTTCTTTTCCTGCCTTGGGTGCTAACTCCTGTAACTGTTGAGGAAGGAGCATTGAATGAACATCCATATATACATGAAAATATTCTAAACTCTTCTATCTGGAGAACACATGCAAACAAAATCTTGGAGGGGACAGTTTCGTATGCTTAAAAGCTCCCCTTATCTTATCTTCCCCTACCCCTGCAATAAAGAAAACATGCAGGCCACTGTTGTGTTCTCACATGCACCAGATTATTACTGACCGCATTTGGTGGCTTGCCAGCATGAAGCCTGGGGCAGAAGATTGTGAGGAGGCTCTCATGACCAGCCCTCAGGTCAGGATATTCTGATCTGCATAGATTAATGAATGGTATTTACACTTTCCACAGGCTCAGTTCCCTCCTAAATCTGTGAAGCAATTTGTGACCTGGGCTTGGGGAGAAGTTTTTGGTTTGCTCGAGTGCTCTGCACGTTCACCTTGCAGGGTAGCAACAGTACTTCAGGGCAGGGTCAGATGTATTTGACTTCTCTATTTTAGTTCTCAGCTGGGAAGATCCCATCCCCAAGGCAGAGGAGGATGAGGTCACTTGTATTAGTCAACAGGAGTGTGCAGCACATCTTTAATTTGTTCATGCCAATATTTTAACTGGGTAAGGCAATGAGATGGGGTCCATCTGCAAAGCCTCGGATGTGCCCAGTCTGAGCTAAGTACCTAGACAGATTCTGTCTGTGGTTAGTTCAGGTGTTAATTCATTTTAGCCTAGAAGAGGATGGGATGAAATGTGTTGTGAGTGCTGGAGGTTTTTTGTGAGGGGCAGCCAGAGTGAGACATCTGGCATTTGAAGGAATAAATGCCATCTAATATCACTATTTCTCCCCTATAACAAAAATAAAGAAAAATCACTTGGGTGATAGTTTCTTCTCATACGTGAGATAAACGAGCAAAAGGATTTGGTTTGACATTTTACAGTTTCAGACCTCACTCTAGAATTGTTGAGGAACAGGTTATGAGCCTTTTGGAGAATGGGCTTTACAGGTAAAGAGTGTTTAACAGACTTCACAGGGCTGCACTTGTTTTAGTTGTCAATGCTCTTTCTAATCCTTTCCTACCCGACAGTGGTGTCTTGCATGCAGCAAGCGGTTCCCTGAGCCGTGAGTGACAATTCCATAGATAAAGTCAAGAAATGAGATACTTTGTCCTCTTAATGAGATGCTTATTTCTGAAGTAAAGAGGGGAAAAAAACCCAGTATATTTTTATACTGGGAAACAAGATGTCTTCTGCTTTACCTGCCTGTGAGAGAGGTTGCTGATGGGGCCAGGTGTAAACCAGCACGGTGTCGTTAACAGAAGTGATCTCAGCTGGCGCAGTCTGCCGACCTGAGGGAATTGGTTTCCGCCAGGTGAAAAGCCACCCAGTTTGTCTCGGTTTCAGTGTCACTTTTGCTTTCTCCTAACCTGCCTGCAAAAATATTTTCCCAGGGAATTTCGAGAATTTGCCAATGGTTCTGTCTGTGTGGAATGTGATCCCCAGTGTGAAAAGATGGAAGAAAACATGATCACCTGCTATGGGCCGGTAAGAACAAAATTTGCTGTATTATGGGCTAGCTTATTAAAGGGTGCTAGAGCACAGACGTCTTCTGCTTACAGACTTCAAAGTGGCTGTTGAAAATCAGTGTTAACAAAAGCAGAAAATATGCATATTCTGCACATAGGGAGAGTATTCTGCTCATGTTAAATGGGTGCTGGGAATAAACTTCCTTGGATCAGCCTGCGTGAGAGAGTGATTTAAAAAGCTTTTCCTTCCTGATTTGTCTTAATGGCTTGGTGGTACAGATGCACAAAATTTTTAAACGACAGATAGCATGCAGTTGTGATTTGAGTGCCCTCTTTTATCACTTTTTTCGTTTTTTATACTCAGTTCTGTCTTATTCTACTACAACTTCAATTACCTGTTTTTTTCAACAAAAAAAGAGTAAGAATTTATATCAGTCTCTCAGCTTCAACAATACATCGGCTTGTGCGTTGTTTTTTTTTTAAACTTAGGTTAGCATTTTAGGCTGTTTTTACAGAGAATTTTCGTGCATCTTAAATTAATCTTAACTGCGGCTGCCACCTTTATAATGACCAGTGAGTCTTCCTTCGAAGATTATTGCTCCTTTGTGAGATAGAAGCTGTCACTTTCTTTTAGCCTTTTTTTATTGCCAAGATTAAAAGACACAAGTATCCCAGGCAATGAGGAGTCGTATTTTAGACTGTTCATCACTGAGAAAATTTAACCTATAACTTATTTCTGTGACTCACCTACTGAATAGGAAAAAAGGCATCATAATTTTTCTTACAATACTATGTTTTCTGCAACACAACCATAAAGCAAGAAGCTGATGTTTCAAGTGTTCAACCCGCAGGGAGATTTGGATTTTTAGCAGGGCTCATGGACTTAAAATCCTAGAGCAGTACCCAGCCTGAACACCAGATTCGCTTATACACTGGATTATTATCATGACTTTAAAATTTTACTTTTCTGCTGTCAAGGTTTGTAGTTTGCAACAGTCTAGTCTACGTATGTGTTAAGAAAACGGAGACTTTGTAGTTCTTCAGTGTTGTTGTGATCAAATACCACAGGGAGAATGCAGTGTGAAAGATAATTCTAGAGTGCAGAGATAGGGGGGTCCCACTGAAAGGCCACCACAGTCGCTTTGCAAATATAGTTTGTTATTAAATGTTGTGCTGGGCGTGAGGTTCGTTGTGTTAAGCGTGCAGTCCATTGCCTTAACCAGTAGTACTGGAAACCATTTAGAAGATGGAATTTGATCTTAGATTCTACAGAATAACTTTATGGGTTTTACGTGTCTGCTGCTCCTTAACAGACACTGGAACCGTGCAGCTCATTCACTGTTCATTGGGGAAGAAATGCTGCTAAAGTTATTGCTAAGCCTAGCAATAGAATGGTTAGTCTAGGACCTGCAGTTCTAGTGCAGCAGGAGAAGAAGAGTAACCGCAATGCACTGCATTTCTTTCTTCCACGCTCTCCAGGGACCTGACCACTGCACAAAGTGTTTCCATTTTAAGGATGGTCCAAATTGTGTGGAAAAATGTCCTGATGGCTTACAGGGGGCCAACAGCTTCATTTTCAAATACGCTGATGAAGATCGTGAGTGCCATCCGTGTCATCCAAACTGCACCCAAGGGTAAGTGCAAAGTCTGTGAAGTGAGCCATCCTATTTACTGTTTAGAGCATGTGATGATTTATGTAGAGCTTGACTTGGTAAAGCACTTGTCCCATGCCTGAAAACAGATTAAGGTAAACTTTGATTTTCAGGTCTCACAATATTCAAGTTCCAGTCATGATTGTCCAACAGACCAGTCCAAAAAAAACCCTAACACTCCTCCTGAGAACCACAGAGAACAGCTCTTCACAGCAATGCTCCTAGCTTTGTTTCTCACTACCACTGGTTTGCAGCCAATGCTACCATTGACGTGTAAGTGTAGGCCTGTAAAATTACTTTATTTTTGGTATTTACTTGTGGACAGAATTTTCATTTTCATCCCTGCTCCTTGGTATTCATAAACTAACCCAGCAGGACTACTGTGAGACAAAAGTGTTTTCGTGTGGGACAGAGTTCGTCTGAAACCAGACTTTGTACGGGAGTTTGAGCATCAGTTTCTCAAGTCTTAAGTGCCCCAAGTCACTTGTTACATTTAGAAATATACAGCCCATGTATCTGAGCCAGAATTAAGAATCTGTGCAACAAAATAACAGTGGTCACGTACACAACTATTGTTTTGCACGGAAATTATAAATGTCTTTTTGATGAAACGGTTGGCAGTGTCCAGCATACAAAGAAAGGGAGAGGCAGCCAGGGGAAAAAAGATAAAACTTCAGCTAGTGAAATAATCTTCAACAAGAGGCTCTTATTATTTAGCGGCTAAAATTAAACCAGTAAATTATTCAATGTAATCTTGATGTCAACAGCTGTTGCCATTCAAAATGAGACCTTTTGCTGGTTTTGCAAATCTAATTACAATAAAGCCATTAGGGAAATGAAAGTGAGATCGCAAAGACATAGCCAGGATCTGTTACAGATTTGTCTTCCCCTCAGACCCTTTAAATCAGTTACGCAATAAGAAAAATGCTGCTACTGTGGAAGAAGAGTCTAACAAGAAGCAATATGAAAAGATGAGCTCGCTTCAGGAGCTCTGGTCCTGGCTTTAATAGGTGGTGGAAGTGCCAATTCTGATCAAATCTGACAAGTGCAGCTATGGATGATAGATTTACTGTCTGCTCTGTATTGGAGCTCTGCTGCCCTCTGAGAAGACC